CTTTCCAAAGATGGGTGGTGTTGAAAGGAAATCAGAAGGAATCCAAACATGTTTCGGCAGAATTCGGTTGAAGGTCGAGCAAACATTCTTGGCCCACCTCTGACAAACTCGGCTGGAGGGACAAAAGAGAGGCCATTGAAACAGAAGAAGCCATCAGCGCCCAACCAAATACGCAAAATGAATTGACAAAACAAAAACAAATGTCTAGGGCCCGAACCCCCCCCCCCCGCTCTCACTGAAATTCCCATGCCTGGGCAAGGAGTTCTTCCACAGCCAGCACCTGTGTCTTGTAGGGCTGTTAAAAACGAGGCTCCGATGTTGAAACTGTCCCTTTCTGTGATAGCATGGGCCAAAGCGTAGTTTGATCATTGTCTTACCCAAAACCTTGGAAATACAAGGTTACTTGTTGTGAGCATGACTAAACGTGGACCAAAGCAGAAAAACGAAAAGGCGACACCCCGGAAAAGGTCCCCAGTACCCTTTTTTCTGCCCTTCGAAGGGTCGAACAAAAAAGGTCGCCAAAACATCAGTCCAAAAAAAAACAGAAGAAGAAAAGAAATAAAAGAGACCATCCATCATGCCCGCCATGTCAAAAATTGGCAGGTGGTATCCACATGAGGCTTTGCCACTGCTTCTCAGGGTCTTGCGCCCCTTGACAAAGCCAAAGAAAGGCCAGCTTGAAACGTTTTTGTGACCAGCCAACCAGATCTTATTTGTATCCGGCCCTGGTGTTTATATCAATGTGTTTGATAACCCGTTAGGGGCCAATAGCCTCGGGACCCGGCAGGTAAGACGTGAAGAGGCGTCCCCTTTCTGGAGCAGCTCTCAGATGTGTCCATTGTGGCAAGTCACCCTTTCCGTAATACCCCAGTGGTTGCTTCCAAGGTTCACGGAGATGTCAGGGGCAATCACAAACATTAAAAACCCATCCATGAGGCACGGCCCCAAGACCGAACATCCCATGACTTGCACACTGTTTGGCCTTGCTTAAAAAAGAAAAACTGTTGCGTCCTCAACTTCGCAAATGCTTGGAAAGGTAAAGCTCAAGCTTTGCCGGGAACAAGGAGGAGCACCCACAAAGTGCCAGTGCAAGGTTCGGCACTGAGCCATTTGCCTCCCTTTCAAGGGCGCCTCACGAATGCAAGGGATACAACTTGCTTTCCCTGCATCCTTTCAAAATGCCTCAAATGGGGGCAGTTGCCTCGGCACCCCCGAAATCTGTGGGTGCTTCCATAACTTGAGGCGCGGAACCTGAAGGGAGGCTCCGCCTGAACCCCATCTCCATGGACCACATCAAAACCCATCCCCCCCCCCCCCACAACCCGCCCAGCACGGCACATGCAGCTGGAAGAGGTTCCGCAGCGCTGGGTCCGGGATCTCCACCTGTTTTTGATCTTTGTTTTTGTTTTTGTTTTCTTCCTCCAAGCGGCGCCTTTTCAACGACGAGAGTGGTCACCAGGACGCTGGTGGTATTGAAGGTCATGAGCAAGAGGTCCAAATGTTGACACTTGCGGCGAACCCCGGGCCCAGCTCGCTTTGGCTTTCATCTTGACCCCAGATTAGTAAACCTGTGGGTGATTCTGATCGGGGGGTGTTTCCTTTGAGTGGTTGGATTCGGACCACTTTTGGAGGGAGAGCACCCCCGTAATGGGACACGTCAACATTCATCCGGGGTCAACATTACGAGGATCTCCCCGAAGCGCTGCTGAGGGGGGCCCAGCCTCCAGGCCGAACCGCTTCTCCGCACTCTGGAAGAGCTGCAGGACCTTGAGCGAGATGTTTGCCAAGGCTTTGCGGCGGCTTGTTGTTTGAGGGTATCCTTTTGTGGGCTTTAGACGGAAAACAGGGGGAACACCGAGATCTAGTTTTGGGGTTCAGTTTGAGCCAGACCAATTTTGGTGTCGAAAAAGGTTGCCCAGACCAGGCTGCAGGTCACCCAAGAGACCCGCAGCCTGGCAGGTAGCCCATGCGACCTTTTTATTACCAGGTGGAATGGATGACGTTGCTTTCAATCGCCCGAGAACGCCACCCAGCCTGCCATGTGAGAGTCCAAAACTCCGCAAACTCGAACCGCCCAACCCCAAGCGGGGCCCAACGAGCCCCCTCCAAGCTATGCCGTGCGAGGGAATGCTTGTGCTAAAGGATGGCATGCTTTCGGCACTCGGCCCTCTCTGATTTTTGCAGGGTCCGGGCCGCGCTGGAGGAGGCATCCCGGGTCTTGCGGGCCGCAATCTCCAGCTCCAGCAGCGCGTCCTCGGCAAGCCAAGCAGACGTGGGCGAAGTTCGAGGCCGGTGTGGTGATCAAAACCCATGAGCATCCCAATCAAACTGAACCTGATACTCATGGTTTACCTGTAAACTCATTAAGTCAAATCACGTTGACCTGTAAATGTTGCAAACACTAAGCTTAATACATTAATCATTCATCCTCATAATGGAGTAAGCCATCGAGGTTGCCAAAAATGGAGCAACCCAAAAAATGAGCAAGCATGGACTAAAACCTGCATGTCCTAGCGGGGCAATTTTGACACATAGCCAAGTTGGTGATTCTAGGCCACTACTTTTGGAACGGGAGACACCAAAAGGGGGAGACGTTGGGGCCCCCGGACGAAAAAGGAGGGGGACAACCCGCACCTGGTTTCGAATGCACACAGTGGCCAGCATGGCCAATTTTGCCAATTTGTGACGAGACATTAGACGACCCATCTTTGCTCACTGGCAAAAATTGATGTCACACGTCAGTATTGCAACAAAACAAAAGCGAGGACCTGCTGGAAAAGTACCCTTACCAAGAAAGACAAGGCTTAGGGTGAATCAGCGTACGCTAAAAACAAAAGTGGTCGAACTCCTCACTATCAATAAATATGGCATATAAGCCCAAGAAATATCACTTGTTTCCTACTTGTCTCCCCATCAGGCCATGAGAAAACTAGGCTGTCGCGCTGGCTGTTGTGGTTTCTCCCATGTCCAAACAGTACCCGGTAAGGTTGGACACCAGGATGGCCCACACTGGGATCAGCCACCAGGGCCCGGCTGCCAAACCTACATTTGTGCGCCTCCCACATGTTTGCTTTCTACGAACTGGGAGCGGTGACACGGACGGCTCTCATACGCCCTTTGGTTTCGGTTACGTCAACATCGGCTCGCCAGCTTGCCTTGAGCGCCAGCCGAGAGAGCTTCGTGATCGGCGCTGCTGCTCCGCTTCCGTCACCTGCCCGACAATGGGTCATGGTCCCAGATTGGGAACCCGGGATGTTGATTGCTTGTTGCAAAGGCGCAGGGTGTCCTTTCTTGAGGGGATCCTTCACTTTTGAAAAGCAACTCTTCCGATGTAGTCAATAGGTTCAGCATTTTGCGGCGCAAATCACATACTGGTGAATCCCAAACCACACCGATCTTTTTCTAAGCAGCAAAGCGACGGAGAATGCAAACCACCTTCCCACTTATAGCTCTTACGATATGATGTTGTCGTCGACACAAGGTCCGACTGCAGCATTGATGCATGCAATCCACGCTATGGTAGATGTGGGTGGATATGGGCTAGGCCTCAAAGGCTGATTGAATGGAAGCACGCTTCCATTTGTGCCACTGACCCAAAGTGGCAAATTCTTGAAGTTTCGAAGGGTCACTCCATGGGCAGCCGATGAGACCGAAAGCTCAATCTGATTGTCACCACACCACCTTCAAGACTTCACACCTTCAACTGCTGATTAATTCCAAAATGACGTCCAATTGAATTCAGACAATCCACTGAAAACCACACAACGCAAAACAATCTCTCAACAGTTGGGTTTAAACTCGCCGCGTCACGCTGTTTATGGAACTGCACACATTGGCCACCCAGGAATCATACAAAATCCGGTTTCTGTCCCATAGCGTCAACCAATCAGCAGCCTTCCTCTGCCGGAGGTTGCATCGTATTTCAGCCGGCGCGGGACGTGCTGTTGCAAGGGGTCCAGCTTGAGATGATTGTTATCTCAGCAACGGTCGCAAACATGATTGTTCAATTGAATCTGTGTTTGTCGCTTGTGCCTATGTCGCCACATCACGCACTAATGTGGGAAACACGACAAATGATTGGGTGGTTGCAACCCATCGCACATCATTCCTGTCCAGGTCTAACATGAATGCGAACTCAAAAGTTGGTCCTGCGAAGATCAAGTTGCATGGCAATCACCATGTTTTTCCATTGCTTGCAATCGGCTGCCGCGGCAACATGATCTCAATTCACCTTGCAAAATTCACGCGTTCCCTGGGAACAATCTTTTTCGGCTAAACCTGTCAAATCCGAGCGGACGGTGGCGCCTTTTTCTCTATGGCTGTTAGAGCCTCCAATGCGGTGAATGCACATGTGATCTAAATGCACTGCCATGCTGTGGGTGTGCTGACCAATATGTTTGAACTGTCTTGGTGGCACTCTTTGAGGTTTTCATTAATTCTGAGTGAGCGATCCAGGATTTCCAGGTTTGTTCTGCTCTTTGACCATTCCGTGACGCACGCTGCGTCACATCCAAGCGCTCGAAGGCTTTGCTGGGCCAGATCATCTAGCGGTCCGCGCTGTAAACAGCGGACCCGCGTGATCGTATCGGCCGCGTGAAAAAGGACCAAATCATCTAGCGCTCCGGCTTGCGGGTTCCTTTTTGCTCCATGCGGCCGATGCGATCCACGAGGGTCCGCTGTTACAGCGCAGAAACATCTTGCACAAACATGCCAAGGATATCAAGAAGAAACCGCAAACAACAAGCAACAGAACAAAAACAGCAAAACAGACACACAACACAATCCATCCTCAGCACAGCGAACGCAAACAATCTAAAGCTCTCCTTGTTGATTCGCCCCAACGCCCAACCCCATCTGCAAACAAACGCCATTTTTCCTCTTCTCTTCCATTCCTGTTTCATCTGTCTTTCCGTCTCATCTGCGTCGTTTCCAGTTGCTCCAGATCAGCCTGTCACCCCTCGGCGAGCCCCGTTCCTCGCCAAGGAGCGCTCAACTGGGGCCGCAGGAGGCGCTGAGCAGGCGCGACGCTGCTTCTTGGCGTCGCCCTGTCAGCGTCTCCCAAGAATCTTTGTCCATCTCTCCTAAGCCGACACGTAAGACTTCTCAAACCTCTAATATTAATAGGCAAAGCTGGCCTCCTTATTTTTGAAAAAGGGTTGTTTTGAACCTCCAACCCCCCTCCCGACCCGTGGCACATATTGAAAGCACCTAAACGTTGTCCGTTGCAGCTAGCGTTTTTATGAATTACCACAGGTTTCCTTTCCAAACCGGGTTGCCACCTTCGAAAGTGACACAGTCCAAAAGGTCTTGGACCCCACGCACAGGCCACGTCAACATTCCCGCAGACGAAAAGCTGTTCCAACGTTCGTCATGTGTTGGGGCCTAAGACAGCATCCTCTGCCAGGAAAAGCAAAAAGCATGCAGGAGGAAGTTCTCCAAATGCCTGCGCCTGATAAGCACGTTCCTTGGTCTTAAAGACCGGCGGTGGCAGAGGACCTGGAATGGGCTTACGATTGAAGGCAGCTAAAAGCAATGGCAAAGCAACCTGAAACCGATTGCCGATTCAGTTCAGGAAACCCTACAAGCGAAAGAAGAACTGTCCCTTAACTCCCATTTCACACACTAAAATGTGTGAGCTGCCGCGCCTGCCCGCACAGAGGCGTGGAGGCGTCGCCGGACGTCCTATCCTTCAGCTCTTGGACACGACCTTTTTTTTGGACCCGGACAGGGACTGGGTGGTCAGCACACAGAGCACTCAGTACAAGAACTCTAGGACCAAGGTGGAAATGCTGCAGAGCAGCTTGCGCGACTGCCTGCTCACCTTTTCGCGCTGCCCTCTCATGAGTCAACCCCTGCGATGCCTCCCGTCTTCCCACGCCTCGCACCGGCTGCCGGGCCTGCAGACATTGCGACTCTCTCTTTAGAGGGCGTTTCCCAAATGGATTCTATTCTACCTGAGAGGCTCCCAGCGCTCGTCCGTCCAGCATTTGACCTCGTCCTGCGAAGGATTCGAAGTCTAAAACGCTGCGTGGAGGCGTGTGGCTGCAAAATAATGACCCCCAGATATGCTTGCAATTTGGCTCCAGGTTGCATTTCAAGCGAGCCAACCTTTGCAGGGCTAAGAAAAAAACAAAAAAACAGAAAACAAGGGGTCCCAAAAAAAGGGGTCCCCGAAAAAAAGGGAAAAGGGGTTTCCTTTGGCAAAGCTTGACATCGCTTGAAATGCAACCTGGAGCCAAATTGCGCGCATATCTAGGGGTCATTATTTTGCAGCCACACGCCTCCACGCAGCGTTTTAGACTTCGAATCCTTCGCAGGACGAGGTCAAATGCTGGACGGACGAGTGCTGGGAGCCTCTCAGGTAGAATAGAATCCATTTGGGAAACGCCCTCTAAAGAGAGAGATACCGGGAATGCAGGGATTCCCTGCAGAATCCCTGCATTGAACTCCCCCCACGATTTGATTCAGAGTGCGCCTAAGAGAGCTAGGGTTGTCCGCAGTGGGGGATTCTACCTCCCACTGCGGACAACGCGGACAACCCGATTTGCTGCGGCACGGTGCCGCGTGTACGCCAAGCCGCTGAACCCCCACAGTCTCCGGGCTCCTTGCTATATGTGCTATATGTGCTATATGGGTCTTACACGCCAAGCCGCTGAACCCCCACTCTCCCCCAGCTCCGCAAAAATCTGTAGTATATGTGCTATATAGGGCCATATAGCACATATAGCACATATAGCAAGGAACCCGGGGAGAGTGGATGTTCAGTGGCTTGCCTTGTGAGACCCATATAGCACACAAAGCACATATAGCAAGGAACCCGGGGAGAGTGGATGTTCAGTGGCTTGTTTTGTGAGAGCCATATAGCACATATAGCACATATAGCAAGGAACCCGGGGGAGAGTGGATGTTCAGTGGCTTGCCTTGTGAGACCCATATAGCACATATAGCACATATAGCAAGGAACCCGGGGAGAGTGGATGTTCAGTGGCTTGCCTTGTGAGACCCATATAGCACATATAGCACGTATAGCAAGGACCCGGGGGACTGTGAGGGTTCGGCGGCTTGGTGCCTGCCGCGCCTGGCATAGAAGCCCGGCCGCGCCACCTGCTCGGCAGAGCCACGCCAGCCCGCCGACGTGGCTTCGATGCCGAGTCCGTGATTGCTGTCTCTGTCTTGCCCAGCTTGCCACTGTTTTCCTTAGCGCGCCCGGCCGTTTTTTGGTCGGACGTGTTGTTGAAAAAAGGAAGTTTTTTTCCGCTCGCGCTGGATGTTGATTGTCATGAGTTCGCCATGGATGTGTTTTGAGTTGTTCCGGGGATTTTGCATGAATTGTCACTTGATTTTCTATTGTTTCAGCGGCGTGTCACTTGCTATTTCAACGCAGCCGTTTGTGCTGCGAAGCTTCTTCTTGACTGCTCGTATCAGGGTCGGGCTCGGGTTGGCGGGGGTCTCAGTCTCGCCGTCTCATTTGGAATCTTTCTCTGCAGCACACCAGGTCATGAGTCGGCATGATCAAGGGCATTGGTCGTGGTCAGGCGTGGTTGTTTTTTTGCTTGAGGCTGAAGGCGTGTCAAGACGTGGGTTTGCGATTGCAGGAAACAAGTATCGCTCGGCGTCCGGAGCTCTGAACCAGCTGAAGAAGAAAACCCAGAAGGCAGAAGAAGAGCGCAAGCAGGAGAAGGAGGAGAGTGAGAAAGTTTTGCACAGCTTCGCAGCTGCCAACGCCCTTCTGAAGCAGAGGGAAACCGAGCTGCTGAGCGAGAACTCGCAACTCAAGGCGCTCTGCTAGCCACGGATCTTTTTTTTTCAATGCGCCTTGTCAGGTTCAAGCGGCGCAGCTCCAGGTGCGCATGTTTGTTGCAGTACCAACCCCTTTTTTTCCCCCTCTTTCCGTTTTTTGGGGGTTCTCTGGAGGACACTGTGCAGCATCTGAAAGAGACGAATGCAAAGGACGCTCAAACGTCCCAGGCTGTTGGCTTGAAGTGTTACTGTTCTTTCTTACGAGCTTTTGTCGTTTGCAGGCTCGGCGTCAAGAGTATTCCGCCAAGATTGCACTGATGACCGCAAAACTCCAGGCCCTCTCATCACCGTCAAGTGTTGTGTTCTTGTGTTTCACGCAGGACACAGATGGTAAATTGGACCTCTCCACCGAGCTCGCTCGGGAGCGTAAGGCGCAGATCGCTGATTTGCAAAGGCAGAACAAGGCCCGGGCTTCGGATTGCCTGTTAATTTCGCAACTGACGTTTTTTTCAGGACTTGGAGAAAAAACTGAAAGATGCCCAACAGCGGGCTGCGCTGCTTGCATGTTTTTGACGTTCAAACGGCATAATTGCACGCTCCTGTTGCAAGGCTCGTGCCGAATTGCAGATCGTTGGCATGGAGGAGCCCAAACGGCGTTCCAAGAAGGCCAAGGTGGGCATTTGTTTTCCTCTTTGTTGCACTTGCCCATTCTCAAGCTGCGCAGGCTGAGTAGTCGCGCGCCAACAGATGTTGCCCTTGCAAAAAAACATGACGTGTCTTCGAGACGGGTTTGGCACGCTTGTGCGTTTGACGGATTGTGCGTTGACATGTTGGAGTTGTTGTTGACATCGGCAGACTTGCAGGCTCCGTCGCAGGAGCGGCTCCGTCACAGGAGCGAGGAACGGCTCCGTCACAGGAGCGGCTCCGTCGAACGGCTCCGTCACAGGAGCAGTTGCAGGCTCCGTCACAGGAGCAGTTGCACGGCGCTGACTTGAACGTGAGCGCATCCGCCGTGGCTCGCCCAACGACCCCTTAGTACTGGCTTGCCCAACCTTGTTTGATGGCTTGCCCAACGACCCCTTAGTACTGGCTTGCGATGGCTCGCCCAACCTCGTTTGATGGCTCGCCCAACGGCCCCTTAGTACTGGCTCGCCCAATGAGCACGGGTTCGCCCAACGGCCCCTTAGTACTGGCTCGCCCAACCTCGTTTGATGGCTCGC